GATTTGAAGTTCTTATCATACAGGTCTTACACTTGCTTGGTTAGAGTTGCACTAAGATATTTTATATTATTTGTGGCTATTGTAAAGGTGTTGCTTCCCTAATTTCTTTCTCAGCCTGTTTGTATAAAGGAGAACTACTGATTTTAGAGTTAATTTTGTGCCCAGCCACATTGCTGAAGGTGTTTCTCAGCTGTAGGAGTTCTCTGGTAGCATTCTTGGGGTCACTTATGTATACGATCATAACATCTGTGAATAGTGATACTTTAATTTTTTTCATTTCAATTTGCATCATTTTGATCTCCTTTAGTTGTCTTCAATAAGACAACTAGCTAGAACTTCAAGTACTATATTGGATATGGAGAGAGTGGACAGCCTTGTCTTGTCCCTGATTTTAGTGGAATTTCTTTAAGTTTCTCTCCATGTAATTTGATGTTGGCTATTGGCTTGATGTGTATTGCCTTTATTGTGTTTGGGTATGTGTCTTGTATCCCTGGTCTCTCCAAGACTTCTAACATGAACAGTGTTGGCTTTATCAAAGGCTTTTTCAGCATCTAATAAGATGATCATGTGTTGGTTTTTTTTTTTTTTCTTTGAGTTTGTGGATTATGTTTTTGAAGTGTTCTTGGGTTTAGTTTGTGAGTATTTGAGTATTTTTGGATCAATGTTCATAAGGGAGATTGAGCTGAAATTATCTTTCTTTGTTGAATCTTTGTGAGGTTTAGGTATCAGGATGACTGTGGCCTCATAGAACGAGTTTGACGATGTTCCTTCTGTTTCCATTTTGTGGAACAGTTTGAGGAGTTTTGGTATTAGTTCTTCTTTGAAAGTCTGGTAGAATTCTGTGCTAAAACTATCTGGCCCTAGGCTTTTGTTTGTTTGGGAGTCTTTTAATTATTTCTATTTCCTTAGGGATTATTGGACTATTTAAATAATTTACCTGTCTTGATTTAACTTTGGTAATTGGTATCTATCAAGAAAACCATTTATAGAACATATAACACCAAGAATAAACCATAGTTTAAGCTGCAGATTTCAAGTGAGATACTATTTTTATTTTTGTGGAGTAGAGGCTTATGAAGTAAGCTCTAATGTTTCTTTGGATTTCCTCAGTGTCTGTTATTATGTCCCCTTTTTCATCTCTGATTTTGTTAATTTGGATACTGTCTCTCTGCCTTTTAGTTTGGCTAAGGGTTTGTCTATCTTATTGATTTTCTCAAAGAACCAGCTCTTGGTTTCTTTGGTTCTTTGTATTGTTGTTGTTTTTTTTTTTTTTTTTTTTTTTTTTTTTT